CAAGGGAGAAGGCCCCTTGGTCTAATTCACAGAGCCTGTTTGTGGGAACGCCACGACCCTGTGCAGTGGTCATCTTCATCAACCACTTGGCCTCTCACAAACCAGTAAATTACAAATTGGGGGAGCGGCTGATCCTAGAGGGGCTGGACCATTGTAGAAAATTCAAACATCACCCTTTCTTCTAGTGCTCACGAACTCTAGCTTGCCATTTAAGGACATCATGAGTTTTATATACAAAATTATCAGCTCAGAGTTGATAGCTAGTTATCTTTAGAGTAGTGGAGGCATGGAGGAAATTGAGGGGGAAAAAAAAGAGTCTTGAAGAAAAATAGCAGAGGTTCCTGGCCCTCTTGCTACAGCCACCATCACCTTTTATTTTTCTGGGGTCTTCCTCTCTAGCCAGATGGGTCCACAGCCCCTTTCCCTTGGGTTAGCTGAGTTGACTGTTAATGTCAGCTAGGGCTATTCACTAGCTACTGGTGGAGTGGCTATTTTCAGAGAGTACTGATCCTCCATTCCTCGCCAGCCCCATTAGGCTTCCTAATATTAAGCCCGTCAGATCGCTCCGGGGCTGCGCTAGGGAGGGAGACTTCAGTAACACTTCTTTCTCAGCTATTATTGGCAACAAAGAACTAGTTATTTGCTTTTTCCTTCTCTTTCCACCTCGTGGAGACATCTCCCTCCCCAAAGTGGCTGAAAGACCATCTCTGAGGAGATGCTTTGATCTCCCATAGCTGAGTGCTAGATTCTTTTTGTTTCTGAAATGAGTTCTGATGATGTGCATAATTTCTGTGTTGATGGGCCCACTTCCTCCTAACCTGGGCATGTGGATTTAAAAAGAGAAAAAACAAAAAAAAGAAAAAAAAAGAGTTTACTTTCACATATTCATGGCCAAGCACCAAAAATGCACCTAAGGGTCATTTACTTTGTTTGGATGAGGCTTTTTACCCCTTAAATGGGGTAGTAACTGTATAAACCTGTACTTAAAGTGGAAACAAAGCATTCTGCTCCCTCTGTAATCCGAGCCCTCCTCTAGGTCTGGCAGGCTCCCTTTGTAGGGATGGCTGCTTCTCAGGAGCAGAATTCGGGAGGGATTGGAATACTTGGCTAGCGAACAAAGCTGGGAGGGTGCACGTGGCTGTGTTTTGGGGGACCGGGTGGAAAACGTCTCCGGGTGTCAGGTGTATTGTGCTTCTGCGCACGCAGGCACCAGGGGATCTGAATTTTGACTGTGGGCGTGTGTGATTCGTGTGGGACGAGGGATCTGGGCCGGTGAACGGAATCTGTGTATGAGGGGGAGAGGCCGGGTGTGTGAGATGACTCATATCTTTCAAGCTGTGGGAGGGTTTATTTGCCGGGAGGGGGGTAACTTTTGGTCTGAGGGGATCCTGTGTACATGGTATCCAGGAGGAAATATTTACCTGTGCAACCTAAGTGCAGGGGTCCAGCGATTGGAGAAGAGGCAATGCAACACAGCGGGACTGGAGACAGGGGAGTACCTGGGGGTGTGTGTCTGTGAATGTGCACTTGCCTACAACTCTGGGCTGCTGCATCCAGAAGAGAAGAATGGGTAGGGAGGAAGAAGGAGGAACAAGGAGGCAGTTTTGCATAAGATGGTTTAGAGAGAGGTGTTCCACACAAAGCACAGGCTCTGGAATCGCAGTCCTGGGTGTGAATCCTGGGGCCGCCCAATGCTCATCTGGTTTCTTTGAGCCTCCGCTTTTCAATGTGGGAAATGATAGGACCAAGAAAACCAATCCTAGTGCTCAATATTGCGATTTATTATCCTTTTCAATGTCATCATGGTCATGTCTGGCTATTGGCTCTAAAAATAATCATTACAAGTGACATTCATCGCATGTGAACTGTAATAATAAAATAGTGATAAATAATAACGAATGCTTACAATATCCCTGGCATAACCACGTTGTACACCATTGCAGTTAATCCCACCGACTTTACAGATATTATCATCAGCCCTTGGTACAGGGGAAGAAGCAAGAAGCTCAGGGAAGTTAAGTAACTTGCCCAACGTCACAGAGTAGAGCAAAGGCATAGCTGGAATTCAAGCCCAATGGCTGTCAACTCCACAGCATGTGCTCCTGCCACCCCACGCCCCTGGCCTCTCCATCTCCATGGGGTCATGTGACAGGCTGTGGAAACCACTCAGGTCACTCCAGTGCGCAACACCTGCCTTGCACTCAGGGGAGGATACACCTGGAGGAGGCGTTGGCAGAAGTGTCCCCAGTTCAAATGGATTCCATACCAATGCCAGCTAAATGTAGAATAGATTTGCCGTTTGTGCATTATTTATGAAAAACTCTGTTTCCCCAAGTCAGCACTGGGAGCTGGGCTGACGTTTGGGAGCTCTGCTGGTGCCTGTCCAACATCCTCACTCCTGTACCCAGGAATAGTAGGATTTGAGTCAGGACCATTTACTGGTTTAAGGCTCTGCCATTTCCCAAGGGAGACCCATCCACTGGGGAGAAAGTGTAGAGACCCCCTGTTCTGTTCTGGTGAATTATGACACCCCACTTTGGCGCTGCTCACCTGATGGACTGCTCAAAGGCATGTGTTCTTTACAGTGACCCCCTTCCTAATGAGAAGCGGGGACCATGCTCCAGCAAAGTGGCTCCAGATGTCTGGGCCTGATAATCCCAGGCCAGAAGGGTCAGTTCAATTTTCTGTCATGCCATGTCACCAACCAAAAGGGAGCAGCTGGCCCCGGTGCCCTGCATCTGTTTGCCTGCCTCGGTTGGCATACAGGTGGTGTGATGAGGACAGATCAAGGTTCAAACTCTCAACTCTGTCACCAAAGGCTGAGGGCCTGGCTCCTGGGCCTCACTACCCTTATCTATAAAATGGACACAATCCCCTCCATCATGTGATACTCAAACAGAAAGATGCACAGGGGACGTGCGTTAGGGAGAACACTGCTTAGCTGGTTAGATGGGAGAGAGAGACCCAAGGACGTAAAGCCAATGAAAGAAATATTTCTCATATCAACACACCAGACCCTACACTCATGGCCAGCCACAGAATCAGATCCTCTCTTTCCCCAGCAATCACAATGTAATTACCACCCTTCCCTCTAAAACAGAAGCTCCCTGAGGGCAAAGGTTTTTATCTGCTTTGCTCACTGCTGTTTTCCCAGAGTCCAGAGCACCTGCTCATTGTAGGCACTCAATAGATATTTGTTGAACGAAGGACAGAATTCCACGGGCCACTGAAAATGTCCTGGAAAGGTGAGTAGGCTGGGGTGCCAGACCTCACTTTCAGATATTCTGGGGAGTTCCTGGCTCCGCTCCTCTACATGTCTCTGCATGAGGCCCCCTGGAACAAAACTGTGCTCCTGACTCAGGCACAGGTGGGAGCACCTCTGGAGGGACGCATCTGCAGAGCAGCCCGGACAGAGCCCTGAGGTGACAGCTGCCCCTGGTCTCCCAAAGCGCCCAGCTGGGAGCGCCAGGCTGTTTGGCCACCCACCTCAGCCACCTACATCTGCTGCCAGGCCTGGCCGTGCCTGCACACGGTGCACGCACGCAGGCGCGCGCACAAACACGCCCACGGCCTGGAACCCGGGCAGGTCTGTCTGCTGGCCTGGCCCCCGTGCCCCAGGGTCAGGGGAACTCTCCAACCTGATCTGTGAAAACAACAGCACAGAAAAGGCCGCCTGGGACCAGGGCTGGGCAAGACTGTGACAGGCAGGAGTATTATATAATTAACTGCCCCCCATGCCTCCTCCCCTTTGAGGAATAATGAACCCTGCCTCTCAGTTGCATAAGCCAAAATAATAATTACTCTCCAGCCCTCCGTTGCTCCTGGATGTGGCCCCAGGAGCAGGTGTTTAGCGCTTGCTTCATGCAACTAGGAGGCAGAGAGCAGACAAGAGAAGACCACACATACACTCATGATTTCTATGCTCAGGAGAAGCACACAAGTTACTGCTGTGCCCCACTCCTTTCCCAGGCTTCCATGCCTGAAAAATTACTGAGCTGCCAAGAGAGGCAAGGAGCCGCTTCTTAGGATGAGCTCCCAGAAGGGGTGGGGGGTGTGGGGGGGCGTGCATCTGGAGAACAGGCCTGTTTGGGGTCTGGCTTCCAGGAACAGTAAGTGCTCCATGCCTCTCAGATGGACCAAGGAGTGGATCCTGGCGTGTCAAGGCCGCCAAGGCTACCTGCAGAGAAACCATCTTATTGCAGTGATGGGCAGCAGACCGGCAGCTCTCTGGCTTCCGCACTGGCTCAGCCCTGAATGTGGTGGCATCTTAATGTGAAAGCACAGAGCATTCCCTAAACTAATGGGGAAAATGATTCAGCCACTGAACAGCGAGATTCCTGGGTCTCGCTAAACAGATGGGCCTCCCTCCCTCTCTCCTTCCAGCACCCTGTTCCTGCTCCAACAGCCCTAGTCCGCGTCCAACCACCTAGAAGTTTATTGCCTTGTTGTGTTGGTTTGGGTTCGCGTCCCCCGCCTCTAGCTCTCCCAATCGCTCCCTCTCCATTGGCTTGGGTTGATCAGGACTGAGAGAGGCCCTTTGGCACCGCAGGAAAACAAGAAGCAAAGCTGGGGCCTGACTCCTGGAGGCCCACACCTAGGGAGCTCCGTCAAAAAGAGGAGGGGTCCCTCTCCCAGCCCCCCTCTGGCCTCGGTGGGTCCCAGAGAAGGCCGTGGGCCCAGTCCGGCCTTTCTGAAGGTCTCTGGCCTGCTCTCGGATGATGCACAGACTCTCTGCTCAGCTCCGCGGCTCCGGGGCCTGGCTCTGCTCCTGGAAAGCCCCCAGCACCTTTCAGCTGGCGCAGGGGTGCTGTACCCCACCAAGCAGTGGGGCAACCTGTAGCCAGGGCCACTGGGCCTCTAGGGATACCCAGGAAATGCCCAGGTGCCCACGGCCCCGCTGGAAGGAGCAGCTCAACTTCCCCAGAGATAAACACAAGAGGCAAGAGAAGGTCCCTCCTCCGCCCAGCCCCCGGCCCGCCCGCACGCACCGGCGCACCTACCTCCATCCGAGTAGGTCTCCGTGCCGTAGCCGTCCTGCAGCCCGTTGCTCCAGGTCCCTTCGTACTTGGCTCCGTTGCCCGTGCACTCCCGCACCCCGTAGCGCCCCTTAAATCCGTGCGTCCACTCGCCCTTGTACACCCACTTCCCCTTGCTCTCCAGGCCGATTCCGTGGCGCTTGCCCTGCGCCCAAGTGCCCTGGTACGTGTTGCCGCTGGGCCAGGTGTAGACGCCCAACACCTCGAAGCCGTGGCTCCACGAGCCGGTGTATTCGCCCTGGCCCTTGGGGCCGGTGCAGACGCCATGGCCGTGCGCCTTGCCGTCCTCCCAGCCTCCACAGTAGGACCCTCCATCGTCAAAATTAAACCTACCCCCACTGGACATGCATGTAACTCGGTTTGCAAATCCCGCAAACGGTGAAAAAAAAAAATAAGGCGATCAACAAACCAGATTCTTGGTTGGCTGGCTGGCTGGTTTTGTTTTGCTATTTTTTTAAAGGAAGAATGGAGAAGCAAAAACACAGCAAGCAGATTCCGAGCGGCGGGCGGCCGCTGCGCCGGCTTCGGTGGAATTTAAGTCAATCGGGGGCGATTATTCATTTTCGAGCTGCGCCGCGGAGCCTGACCAGCGTCTCGCGCTCCCGCTGGAGACAGGACCGGAGGGGAGGAGGGAGGGGGAG